AACATGGGAACCATTGGGAACAAGGTCCCTGGGAATAATGGGAGCTCGGGGAACATGGGAACCATTGGGAACAAGGTCCCTGGGGACATGGGGAGCTCTGGGAACATGGGAACCATTTGGAACAAGGTCCCTGGGGACATGGGGAGCTCTGGGAACACGGGAACCATTGGGAACAAGGTCCCTGGGGACATGGGGAGCTCTGGGAACACGGGAACCATTGGGAACAAGGTCCCTGGGAATAATGGGAGCTCGGGGAACATGGGAACCATTGGGAACAAGGTCCCTGGGGACATGGGGAGCTCTGGGAACATGGGAACCATTTGGAACAAGGTCCCTGGGGACATGGGGAGCTCTGGGAACACGGGAACCATTGGGAACAAGGTCCCTGGGGACATGGGGAGCTCTGGGAACATGGGAACCATTGGGAACAAGGTCCCTGGGGACGTGGGGAGCACCAGGTGAATGGGAACCATGGAACCCGGGGACCCCAATGCCATGGGGCCCCCAGGGCCATGGTGTGCCCGGGGACAGCGGGGTCCCCCCAACGCACTCAGTGCCATGCGGGTGCGCGCCGCAGGGCCAGCGGGGGCCGGGCGCTGGTTCACTGCCGCATGGGGCTGAGCCGCTCGGCAGCCACGGTGCTGGCGTACGCCATGAAGGAGTTGGGGTGGTCCCTGGAGCGGGCGCTGCGGCACGTGCGGCACTGCCGGCCCGGCGCCATGCCCAACCCCGGCTTCATGCGCCAGCTCGACTTCTACCAGGGCATCCTGCGCGCCAGGTGGGTGGGGGCGAGGTGAGCCACGCCCACATAAAGGGTGGGGCACGCGGAGACCACGCCCTCCTTGGCTAGGAGAGGGCGAGGATCTATGAGGCCACGCCCCCTTCGGGAGGGTGGGGGCTGGTGAGCCTATGCTCAGCTATGGAGGATGGGCGGGGGTCTGATTAGGCCACGCCCCCCTTTGGACAGAATATGGTTTAATGAGGCCACGCCCCCTTCGGTAGGAGGAAGACCACGCCTCCTTTGGGCAGGGTGGGCGGGGTCTTGTGTGGCCACACCCCATTGTCCATGAGGAAGGGCCCCTGTGGCCACGCCCATTTAAGACAGGAAAGGCGTGGACTGCCACGTGCCCTTCAACAGTGAGAGGGCGTGGTCTCCTGTAACCACGCCCCTTAGCCTGAAGAGTCCACCCTGACCCCTCCTCCTTCAGCAATAAGGGGCGTGGTCACATTACCAAGGTGTGGGCTATGGTGGGTGGAGCATCCTTTTAGCCACGCCCCTTTCACGCAGGGTGGGCGGGGTTTGCATCGCGGGGTGGGCCGAGCCTGTGGGCCCCCCCACCCCCGTTTTCCACGGCGGAGGGGGCCCGGTCAGGGGGTGACGGGCGGGTGTGTGTCAGCCGGCACAGCACCATGTGGGAGCCCAGGGCGGCCGAGCCCCAGCCTCAAGGGGACGAGGGCGGCACGGCCCCGTCCCCGCAGCCCCCTGAGGACGTGCCCGTGCCGGGGGTGTTGGGGGCCTCCCCGCGGCCCCGCATCTCCCTGTGCGCCGTCATGAGGAGCATCAGCCAGCTGGAGCCCCCCGGGGAGCCGCTCTGCGAGGAGGTGAGCGCAGGGGCTCGGGGGGTGCAGGCAGGCAGCGGGGCTGCGGCACTGCCTGAGCCCCCCCCCCCCGGCCTCCCCATAGGGGTTCTCGGCCGCGGAGGCACCGGCGGGTTCAGGGGGTGCCCCCCCGGCAGCACCGCCCCAGCCTCGGCCCTCGTCCCGCCCGCGCCGGGTGCCGCGCCAGGCCAGCCTCGACGGAGGCCACGCCCCCTGCGGGGACCACGCCCCCTGACCGCGCCCACACCGAGGAGACCTCTCTCCTCCAATCAGGAGGAAGCGGCGGGGCTTACCCATGGCCACGCCCCCTCCCTTCACACTACCGGGGGTGGCGGAGCCCGCCCCGCACCAGCACTGACAATAAAGAGCGGAACCGGGCGGCCCTGGCCTGGCTGATGCCCGGGGGAGGGTTCCAAGGGCGCCGGGGCACCGGGAACCGGCACCTCCGGTACCGCGAAGCGCCGCCGCCATCTTGTGTGGCGGGGGAGGCGGCGGCGGCGGGGAGAGGACTACAGCTCCCGGCACCCCTTGCGCGGAGACTGGCTTTGCGCATGCGCTCAGGGCGCCTTCCGGGTTGCTACGCAACCGGGCGCAGGCTTGGCTCAGGCCTAGCGGCCTAGGCCGCGCCGCGGGGCCGGTTCCGGGGGCAGGGATTGGGCCCCTGTGCTGGGCACTGGGGAGGCTGCACCTCGAATCCTGTGCTCAGCTCCCGGCCCCCCACTGCAAGAGAGACCTTGAGGTGCTGGAGCGGGGCCAGAGAAGGGAACGGAGCTGGAGCAGGGCCTGGAGCCCAAGTGTGATGGGGAAGGGCTGAGGGAGCTGGGGGGTTCAGTGTGGAGAAGAGAAGGCTCAGGGGGGACCTGATGGCTGCCTCCAAGTGCCTGAGAGGAGGATGGAGCCAGGAGGGGCTGGGCTCTGCTCCCAAGGAACAAGGGATGGGACAAGAGGAAACGGCCTCAAGCTGCCCCAGGGCAGGTTTAGATGGAGCTGGCCCCGAAGCTCCTCGAGCGGGACCGGATCTGGGTGAGCAATGGGACGGGGAGGGCTCGGTGCCTGCAGGGTGAGTGGCACCAGTGCTGTGCCCCGTCCCAGCCCGCTCCCAGGACGTGGCCTGGGTTACTCCGAGGTCCAGCTCTTCATTCCAGGTCTGGGCTATGATCAGTTCATTTTATTGAGGAAGCACCAAAAGGAGCTTCGAGAAATCAGACAAATGACAAAGCAGCACATCCTGTGAGGGATTTATCATGAAACAATTCCACCCACGGCAAAGCTGCTCCTGGTGCCTTTTAACCTTAGGGATCCCATGGGATTGATACAGCTTTTCCCTCCCCGCCGCCAACACAGGAAGGTCCCATTGGAGAAGGCTCCTGAAGGGGAGACCTCAGAGCAGCTCCAGTGCCTGAAGGGGCTGCAGGGAACCTGGAGAGGGGCTTGGGACAAGGGATGTAGGGACAGGCCAAGGGGAATGGCTTGAACCTGCCCGAGGGGAGACTGAGATGAGCTCTTAGGCAGAAGCTCTTCCCTGGGAGGGTGCTGAGGCGCTGGCACAGGGTGCCCAGAGAAGCTGTGGCTGCCCCATCCCTGGCAGTGCTCAAGGCCAGGTTGGACACAAGGGCTTGGAGCAAGCTGCTCCAGTGGAAGGGGTTGGGGTTGGAGCTGGAGGAGCTTTAAGCTCCCTTCATCCCAACCCATCCCATGGTTCCATGATTCTGAGCCTGGCAGAGGGCCCGGAGGATTTCACGGATACGCTCAGTGGTGTACACCACACTCGGTGGTGAGGGGTGCTGAGGGCATCCCATGGCCCTTCTCCTGCCCCCTCTCCAGAGCTCTGCTGCTCCCCTCTCCTTCCCCACCCCATTGCCAAAGCTCACCTTTGGGTGACTCCCCCAACTCCGGCAGGGCTGAGCACCCTGATGGGCACCATCCTGCCCACGCCAGCTCTCCCTTCCAGGGCTGTAGCATCCCATGCCCCACTCTGGATGACAGAGAGCTCCCACCCCTGCTCCAGCTCATCCCTAGGAACACCAACACATGGGAGCAGGGGGGATTCAGACCACAACGGTCACCCCATAGCACTCATCCCCTTCCTTCCCATCGCACACACGGACCCAGTGCCATGTCCAGCACCAAGCTATGGCCTTACCCAAGGTATAACACACCCCCCATACCCCGGGTACCCCCTCCCCACAGCACACAGCAGCCCCTGTCCTTCAACACACCCTTTAATGCACCCTGGCTGCAGCCAGGCCTGGAGGGCAATGGGCACAGCCCCCCCTTTGCTCCCTCCAGCGCTGGGGGCCAGCAGCAGCGGCTCAGAGCTCGTACTCGTGCCAGAGGCTGTGGGGCACAAAGGGGGGGGGGGGTCAGAGCGTGCCCCCCACCCTGCTTGTGGATGCCCCCAATGCATGGGGGGGGACACACCGGGAGAGGGATGGGGAACTTTGTGTGTCCCCCCCCATCCTGTTTAATACCCACTTGTAGATGACGCTGGGATCATCCTGATGCTTCAGGAGGGCATCACGCACCGTGTCCGGGGGGCTGAGCCCCAGCTCCTGTGCGCGCTCCCAGCGCTGCAGGCGGGTGATTCCTATGGGGTGGGGATCAGTGGGAACAGGGCGATCCAAGGGGTTCCATGGGGGGTCTATGGGGGTCCGGGCTCTCTCACCAGTGCACGGCCCATACTCCCAAGCGAGATCGAAGCTCCGCAGCATCTCCAGGACGCTCCGATCCGGACCGGACCCCGGCGGCTCCTCCGCCGCTGGAACCTGGGGACACCCCGTGCCCGTGCCCGTGCCCGTGCCCGTGCCCGTGCCCTTCCCTTTGCCTTTACGCGTGCCCGGGGCTCGGCCCGGCCGCCGCCGCCGCCGTAACGGGAAGGAGTCGGTGATGAGCCGGGGCTGCTCCATCGCCCTGCGGGACAGCGGCGGCGGCCGCGCTGCTACCGGTATCCAGGGCACAACACCCCGCCTATGGGGCGGAAGCGGCGGGGCCGGCGCTGTCCCCTCCCCTTCCCCGTTGTCCCCGGTCCCCGTTGTCCCCGCCACCGGTGGCTCCGCCGCGGCTCTGCCTCGGTCCCCCCCGTCAATGGGCTCCACAAGCAGCGCATCCGCCCGGTCCCAACCCCAAGCGCGGTGACACCGTCCCGTGGGGCTGGGGGGGACGGGACCCTGCAGGTGCTTGAGGCTCTTCGGCCCTCCCATGGGGAGCCCTAGAGCACGAGCCGTGGTGCGTGTCCTGCACCAGCCCCACAGGGTGCTCAGGCATTGGAACAGGCTGCCCAGGGCGGCGCTGCTCTTTTCCAGCCCCACTGATTCTATGGGTCTGTGCCCAGACACGAGGTGACTCCCTGGGGGCAAATCTGTGTCCCCCAGCAGTGTCCCCACCAAACCCGCTCTGTAACGGCCGGTGTTAAGCCATGTGTGAGAAAACCAAGCGGCCGCACAACCCCATAGCAGCCACCAGAGAATCCACAGCGCTCTTCGCTTTCAGTGCCGTGTTTCCTCCCTCACACTTCCCGACCCCCACGAAGGGGCGTTTATGGAAGGAGGGGATGATTTAGGCTCGCTTCAGGCCGGGGTTGTGCAGGATGTAAGAGCACAGCCCCGGCAGGCGCTGGTGACCCAGCTCCTCCTCCAGCCGCTGCATGGGCCGGTTCCCGGTGGCCGTGAACCCAAAGGTGGGGAAGCCACGAGCCTGAGCCCTGCGAGCGGCCAGGACCAGCACCGTCCACATGTACCCGCTGCGGCGGTGCGCGGGGAGCGTGTATCCGTGCGTCCCGGCTCCAAAGGGATCCGTCAGCGTCCAGGACAGCGGCTGCCCGGCCCCGTCCCGCAGGCAGAGGTTGGGGAAGAGCCGCAGCAGCTCCTCCAGGTACTGCCGGCTCCGAGCGGTGCCTCCGTAGGGCCACGTCTTGTTGAGCAGATCCACGTGTGCCGGGGTCAGGGAGCCCACCCGCACCCCCGGATCCAGGCTGCGGTGAGGGATGGGTCAGTGGGGAGATGGGGATGGGATGGGGGTGGCATGGGATGGGGATGGAGGTGGAGGTGGGATGGGGATGGAGGTGGGATGGGGATGGGGATGGGATGGGGATGGGATTGGGATGAGGAGGGATGGGGATGGAGGTGGGATGGGGATGGGATTGGGATGGGGATGGGATTGGGATGGGGATGGGGAGGGATGGGGATGGGGATAGGAGGGGGATGGAGGCAGGATGGGGATGGGGGTGGCATGGGATGGGGATGGAGGTGGGATGGGGATGGGGATGGAGGTGGGATGGGGATGGGGATAGGCGGGGGATGGAGGTGGGATGGGGATGGGAAGGGATGGGGATGGGATTGGGATGGGGATGGGGAGGGATGGAGGTGGGATGGGGATGGGAAAGGATGGAGATGGGATTGGGATGGGGATGGGGAGGGATGGGGATGGGAAGGGATGGGATGGGGATGGGATGGGGATAGGGTTTCAGATGGGGTTGTGGATGAATTTGGGGATAGGAAGGGGATGGTATGGGGAGGGGTTTGCAGATGGGGTTTTGGATGAAGTTGGGGATAGGAAGGGGATGGTATGGGGAGGGGGTTGCAGATGGTTATGGGAATGGGGATGGGATGGGGATGGGGATAGGATGGGGATGGGATGGGGTTGCAAATAGGGTTGGAGATTGGGATGAGACTGGGAATGGGGATGGGAGGGGGATTGGATGGGATGGGGATGGCGATGAGATGGGGATGGGATGGGGTTGGGGCTGGGGCTGGGTTTGGGCGTCTCACCGTGGCTCGGGCATGGCACTGGGGTTGGGGTGCAGGTAGGTGTAATAATGGGAGATGTCGAGCTCGATGCCCTTGGCCCCCGCAATGGCCTCTGACACCGCGGTCACCCCGTCCTGAAGGCCTGGGGGTGGCGCTGTCAGGGGGGGCTGCTCCACCAGCACCCACTTTGCTGCCCCCAATGCACCCCGAGGTCCAACCACAACGGCCTCCGGTGACAGCACCCATCAAACCAACGCCCTCAGCACCCCAATTCCAGCCCCATATCCCCCAGTACCCCCAGTTCTTTCCCCCAGCACGTCCCAGCACCTCCACTTCCACACCCCAGTATCACCAGTGCCTCTCCCATGCTCCCAGTGCCCCCAGCACCCCAATTCCCACCCCAGCACCCCCAATCCCTTCCCATCACCCCCAGGACCCGCATCCCATGACCACCGATGATGTAGAACGCCGCATCCCAGCGCAGGCAGCCCGGGGTCTCCAGCAGCGCCCGGTAAGCACCCAGGTCCCGGTAGAACACCGCGCTCGTGTTCCTGTAGCAGTCATCCACCGGCACCTGCGGGGCACCCATGGGTGCCCTGAGCCCATCGGTACCCTCTACGGGGCCACCCCACAAGCACCCATGAGGGGTTCCCCGCGGCCACCTCTCCTCTGCGCCGGGCCAGCACGGCACCAAACTCAGGCCATGCATCCACCACCACCTCCAGCCCCGCGGGGTTGCCCCGGTTGATGTTCATCACAGCCCCATAGACCTGCGGCAAAGGGGGGGGCAGAGATGGGATGTGGGGGGCAGGAGGTCGATGTGGGGGTTCCCAAGCAATGGGCGCACCCCACAGCCCGTCCTGCCCCCATAGGGATGTGTGGGGTGAATCCCTCTGGGTGATGTTCACCACAGCCCCATAGACCTGCGGGTGAAGGGGGCTGAGATGGGTTGTGGGGTGCAGGGGGGCAAATGTGGGGTCCTGGGTGGTGGGTGCACCCCACAGCCCGCCGGGTCCCATAGGGATGTGTGGGGTGAAGGCAAAGGGGGCAGAGCCCCACAAGTGGGTGGGGCTATGGGAAATGGGCGTGGAAGTTTGGGATTGGCTGCTTTCACACTGTCTCGGCTGGGATTGGCTGGCTTCTGTGGGAGCCTGGGAGAGGATTGGTTGGCTTGTGTGGGAGTCAAAGGGGATTGGCTAGCTTGGAATCAAGCTGGGCTGGGATTGGTCCGTTGGCTGATGCCCAGGAGCCGCCTGTCCTGGACTTGGGACCCTCGGGGGAGGGCAGCAAGAGAGGGGCTACGGGGGTCCCCATCACTGGGGGCAGGAGATGGGGGACATGGGGGTCCCTGCCTTGGCAAGGGGCAGGGATATGGGGGTCCCAGTCATTGGACAGCTCAGGGGTGACATTGGGGTCCCCACCACGGCACAGGGCAGGGGTGACAAAGGGGTCCCAGTCCTGGCGTGGGGCAGGGGTGACATTGGGCTCCCTGTCCCAGCACGGGGCAGGGGTGACACAAGGGGGGTCCCGTCCCCCCCATCACCGGCAGGGTGAGGGGCAGGCTCCTCCGCAGGGCTCCCTCCAAGCGCTGCAGCTGAGCCGGGCACGTCAGGATCAGCATGGTCCTGCTGAGAGACCCTACAATAACACAGGGACAGGGGCCCATGGCTGGACCCTGTCCCCATCCCCATCCCTGCCCTCATCCCTTCATCACTCACCCCGCAGCGGTCCTGTGGCCGTGGGTCCCAATGGGCCTTGGGGTGGGTGTCAGAGACCGGTGGCACCAGCAGGTCCCTGGCTCTATGGGGCACACGGTGGCACCAGCAGGTCCCTGGCTCTATGGGGCACACGGTGGCACCAGCCGCCACGGACCAGTGAGTGCCCCTTGCCCAGGGGGTGGCTCCATAGGGGGGGCACTGGGCAGGGTCCAGCCCATGGGGCACTGGGCATGGGGCCAGCCCTGTCCTTATGGGAAACACACGCAGCACCCCATAGCAGCACCCCATAGCGCCGGGACCCTCAGTGTCACCTCGTGTTCCACGGACCCTTGGTGTCACTGCAGGACCTTGCTGATCCTGATGTGCCCAGGAGCCTGCCCCCCCCAACCCCTGCTGATGATGGGGACATTGGGGTCATCCCTGTCCCCCCATCCCTGCCCTGCTGGTAATGGGGACCCCCTTGTCCTCCTATTCCTGCCCTGTCAGTGATGAGGACCCCGCTGCTCCCCCCAACCTTTCCCTACTGCGGATGGGAACCCTGTGCACCCCCGTGTCCCCTTCACCCCTGCCCTGCTGCTGACGGGGTAACTGAGGACCCCCATGTCCCCCCATTCCTGCGCTGCCAGCGATGGGGTCCCGTCCCCCCCCACATCCCCCCTCCCTTCCCCATGGCAGGGCCCTAAGGAGGGCGCAGGGAGAAAGGCTTTAATCCGTTCATACAAGAATAGATCTTCTGCAATAAATACCCCAATAAATAACATCTCCAATAAATAAACACGCACAGACGCACCGGGGCACAGGCCACGCCCCCCCTCCCGTAAGCCCCGCCCACCGCCCCCCCCACAAGCCCCGCCTCCCCACTCTGTGGGTCGCTAAGCAACCGTGGGAGAGGCAGGGCTTGGGTAGCCAGGGGGGCGGGGCCTATTGTAGGGCGGGGGCGGGGTTTATACCGATGCTCGAAGGGGATTGGTCCGTTTCGGGGTGGGCGGGGCTTGCGCACACCCTATAGCGCTTGGGGGTGGGGCTTATTGCTGCTGTGGGGCGGGGGGTGGGGGAGGCTGCTGCCCTCGTCAGCCCCATTGATATGGGGCAGGGATGAGGGGATGGGCCACCGTGGTGGTGGGGACAACGTGGGGGCTTCCACTGGGGCTGTGGGGTGGCTGTGGTGGCACTTTGGGGGCAGGAGACCCGTCTCTTCAGGCACGATGTGGTGACAGAGGGGATGTGGGGTGTCTGCAGCGGCACTTTGGGGTCAGGAGACCCATCTCTCAAGGGCGGTGTGGTGGTGGAGAGGGGAAAACGGGTGGCTTTGGTGGCACTTTGGGTCAGGAACCCCATCCCTTAAGGATGATGGGGATGTGGAGTGGCTTTGGTGGTACTTTGGGGTCAGAAGCCCCATCTCTGAAGGAGCACTGGTGATGGAGAGGGGACAGGAGTGGCTTTGGTGGTGCTTTGGGGTCAGAGCCCCATCTCTGAAGGAGCACTGGTGATGGAGAGGGGACAGGAGTGGCTTTGGTGGTGCTTTGGGGTACAGAGCCCATCTCTGAAGGAGCACTGGTGATGGAGAGGGGACAGGAGTGGGCTTTGGTGGTGCTTTGGGGTCAGAGCCCCATCTCTGGAAGGCACAGTGGTGATGGAGAGGTGCTTTGGTGATGGTGGCACTTTGGGGTCGGAGCCCCATCCCACAAGGCACAGTGGTGGTGGAAGTGCTGTGGGGTGACTTTGGTGGCACTTTAGGGTCAGGACCCCCATCCTTAAGACATAGCAAGGTGATGATGAGGATATGGAGTGGCTTTGGTGGCACTTTGGGGTCAGGACCCCCATCCCTTAAGACATAGCAAGGTGATGATGAGGATATGGAGTGGCTTGGTGGCACTTTGGGGTCAGAAGCCCCATCTCTCAAGGCGCCACTGGTGATGGAGAGGGGACAGGAGTGGCTTTGGTGGTGCTTTGGGGTCAGGAGACCCAGCCCTTAAGGCACTTGTGATGATGGTGGGGTTATGGGGTGGCTTTGGTGGCACTTGTGCGTCAGGAACCCCATCCCTTAAGACACAGCGAGGTGATGACGAGGATGTGGAGTGGCTTTGGTGGCACTTTAGGGTCAAAAGACCCATCCCTTAAGGCACTGTTAATGGTGGTGGGGTTGTGGAATGGCTTTGGTGGCACTTTGGGGTCAGAGCCCCATCTCTGAAGGCACAGTGGTGATGAGAGAGGTGCTTTGGTGATGGTGATAGTGGTGCTTTGGGGTCAGAGCCCCATCCCACACAAGGCACAGTGGTGATGGAGAGAGGTTCTTTGGTGATGGTGATGGTGGCACTTTGGGGTTGGAGCCCCATCCCACACAAGGCACAGTGGTGATGGAGAGAGGTGCTTGGTGATGGTGATGGTGGCACTTTGGGGTTGGAGCCCCATCCCACACAAGGCACAGTGGTGATGGAGAGGTGCTTTGGTGATGGTGATGGTGGCACTTTGGGGTTGGAGCCCCATCCCACACAAGGCACAGTGGTGATGGAGGAGAGGTGCTTTGGTGATGGTGATGGTGGCACTTTGGGGTTGGAGCCCCATCCCACACAAGGCACAGTGGTGATGGAGAGGTGCTTTGGTGATGGTGATGGTGGCACTTTGGGGTTGGAGCCCCATCCCACACAAGGCACAGTGGTGATGAGAGAGGTGCTTTGGTGATGGTGATGGTGGCACTTTGGGGTTGGAGCCCCATCCCACACAAGGCACAGTGGTGATGGAGAGGTGCTTTGGTGATGGTGATAGTGGTGCTTTGGGGTTCAGAGCCCCATCCACAAGGCACAGTGCCGATGGAAGTGCTGTGGGGTGACTTTGGTGCCACCTTAGGTTCAGGACCCCCCCCCAAGGCCCAATGTGGTGACACAGGGACGTGGGATGCCTGCGGTGGCATCCTCTCGAGGCGCACTGGTGATGCCGAGGGAACGGGGGTGACTTCGGCAGCGCTTTGGGTGAGCCCCCCCCCCCCCCCCTCCCCAAATCGCAGCGAGGTTCCTGGGTCCCAACTGTGCTGAGAAGCCCCATCCCCACCCCACTGCTGCGGAGACGGGGCCGCTGCGGCGCGGGCGCCTCAGAACCCCCTCGCCTCCCATCCTCAGCGTCACCACCGCCGGCGGCACCTTCTTCTTGAGCCGGTTGAAGTCCTTGGCCGAGCGCCACAGCCAGGTCTGCAGCTCCTTCAGCAGCCAGAAATCATCCATCTTCTTCAAGAAGTCATTGGGGGGCCCCCCCCCGGGCTGCGCGGGGACCCCATTGGGCGAGGCTGGGGGTCCGGCGGGCAGCGGGTAGCCGAGGGAGGACATGACCCCCGCGATGCTCAGCACCAGCCCCTGCAGGCTGGAGCAGAAGTGGCCGAGGCGATGGCGCAGCTCGGCCGTGCCCTGCGCGTCCAGCGCCCGCAGCGAGCACAGCACCCGGCTGTAGGCGCGGTAGTTGGCGGCCAGGCGAGCGTTGTCGGTCAGGCCCCGCCAGAGGTCCAGGTCCACCGTGGCGCTGGGCACCCGCTCGGCTCGGGCCAGGCGCGGGGGGTTGAAGTCGGGCTCATTGAAAGGGGGGCCCAGGTAGTTCAGCTGGAAGGGATGAAAGGGGGGGGGGGGTATGGGGGTGATGGGTGCGGTGCCCTGAGTGGTGCAGCTCGAGCGCCTGGGTTCGTGTTCGGCTTGCACCGGGGTCTCTGGGTCCCTCCTGCAACCTGTGTCCATGTGCCCTTCATCCAGGTACCCATGTCCCCCTCATCCAGGTACCCACGTCCCCCTCATCCAGGTACCCACGTCCCCCTCATCCAGGTACCCATGTCCTTCTCATCCAGGTACCCACGTCCCCCTCATCCAGGTACCCATGTCCCTCTCATTCAGGTACCCACGTCCCCCTCATCCAGGTACCCATGTCCTTCTCATCCAGGTACCCATGTCCCCCTCATCCAGGTACCCATGTCCTTCTCATCCAGGTACCCACGTCCCCCTCATCCAGGTACCCATGTACCCCTGCCCACATCCCCTGCATCCATGTCCCCCTCCTCCAGGTACCCATTTCTCCCTCATCCAAGTACCCATGTCCTTCTCATCCAGGTACCCATGTCCCCCTCATCCAGGTACCCACTTTCCCCTGCCCACATCCCCCATCTCCATGTCCTTCTCATCCAGGTACCCATGTCCCCCTCATCCAGGTACCCAGTCCCTCTCATCCAGGTACCCACATCCCTCTCATCCAGGTACCCACGTCCCTCTCATCCAGGTACCCACATCCCCCTCATCCAGGTACCCACATCCCTCTCATCCAGGTACCCACGTCCCTCTCATCCAGGTACCCACATCCCCCTCATCCAGGTACCCATGTCCCCCTCATCCAGGTACCCACGTCCCCCTCATCCAGGTACCCACGTCCCTCTCATCCAGGTACCCACATCCCCCTCATCCAGGTACCCACGTCCCTCTCATCCAGGTACCCACATCCCCCTCATGCAGGTACCCACGTCCCTCTCATCCAGGTACCCATGTCCCCCTGCCCACATCCCCCATCTCCATGTCCCACTCATCCAGGTACCCATGTCCCCCTCATGCAGGTACCCACGTCCCTCTCATCCAGGTACCCATGTCCCCCTGCCCACATCCCCCATCTCCATGTCCCACTCATCCAGGTACCCATGTCCCACTCATCCAGGTACCCATGTCCCCCTGCCCACATCCCCCATCTCCATGTCCCACTCATCCAGGTACCCATGTCCCCTCTCATCCAGGTACCCACATCCCCCTCATCCAGGTACCCATGTCCCTCTCATCCAGGTACCCATGTCCCACTCATCCAGGTACCCATGTCCCCCTGCCCACATCCCCCATCTCCATGTCCCACTCATCCAGGTACCCATGTCCCCCTCATCCAGGTACCCATGTCCCTCTCATCCAGGTACCCATGTCCCACTCATCCAGGTACCCATGTCCCTCTCATCCAGGTACCCATGTCCCACTCATCCAGGTACCCATGTCCCCCTCATCCAGGTACCCATGTCCCTCTCATCCAGGTACCCATGTCCCACTCATCCAGGTACCCATGTCCCCGTCATCCAGGTACCCACGTCCCCCTGCCCACATCCCTCATCTCCATGTCCCCCTCATCCCAGGTCTCTATGTCCCCCTGTCCACATCCCCTGTCCCCCACATACCCACCATGTCCCAGGCTTCTATGTCCTCCCGTTTGGGCATGCCCCCCTCTTTGCAGGTCTTCATGCCCCACTGCCCGCCGTGTCCCCCTGTCTCCATGTCCTACTTGCCCCAGGTCCCCAGATCCTTCTGCCCACCTTGGTCCCCGTCTCTGTGTCCTCCTTTCCATGTCCCCAGGTGCACGTGCCCACCATATTCCAGGTCTCCACATCCCACACTTTGGATACACCCCCCTCTTTCCAGGTCTCCGTGTCCCCCTGCCAACCATGTCCCAGGTCTCCATGTCCCTCCTTGCCCATCACATGCCCCTTCCCATCAGGTCCCCAGGCTCCATGTCCCCAGAGGGGAAGGGGCCACCATGTCCCATCTCCCTGCCTCCCATGGCCCCAGCCTCCCTGTCCCCATCCCCATCCCACCCCAGGCCCCCCTGCCCGTGCCCACAGCTGCAGGCAGCACAGCACACCCAGAGGCACCCATGGGTGGGGTTGAGCACCCCCGTCCCGCACCCAGCCCCACGGTGCAGCCACCCTCGTCATTGCCAGCACCCCAAAAGGCACGGCAGGGCAGAGGTGGAGGAGCCAGCGGGCAGGGACAGGCAGATACAGGCACCCTGCACCCTGCTTGCACCCTGCAACCTGCCTGTATCTTGTACCCTGCACCCTGCCTGCACCCTGCAACCTGCCTGTATCTTGTACCCTGCACGCTGCCTGCACGCTGCACCCTGCCTGCACCCTGCCTGTACCCTGCATACTGCACCCTGCCTGTACCCTGCACCCTGCACCCTGCCTGCACCCTGCAACCTGCCTGTATCTTGTACCCTGCACGCTGCACCCTGCCTGTACCCTGCAACCTGCCTGAACCCTGCCTGTATCCTGCACGCTGCACCCTGCCTGTACCCTGCCTGTACCTGCACCCTGACTGTATTCCTTACCCTGCACCCTGCCTGAACCCTGCGTGCCCCCTGTGCCCTGTCTGCACCCTGCCCCCTCGCTGCACCTTGCCTGCACCCTGCACCTTGCCTGCACCCTGCACCCTGCCTGCACCCTATCTATGCCCTGCCCACACCCGGGGCGGATGAGCCATACCCTGGCCTGAGGCACGGGTGCACCCATGGGAGCCGCAGAGCCCTGGGCCAGGGCGGTGGCATCGGGTGAGGGCAGGGGAGAGCAAACACGTCCCTGCAGGCGTGTGCGGGACACGCGTGTGCGGGAGGCACGGGCAGGGATGGGCAGCACTGACTGCACCTTGTGTGTGCAGATACACACAGTGCACACACATGCATGGGTGTGCGGGCACAGGGATGTACACGGGTGTGCAGGCACAGGGATGCGGGCACAGGGATGTACACGTGTGTGCAGGCACAGGGATGCAGGCACACTGATGTACACGTGTGTGCGGGCACAGGGATGCGGGCACAGGGATGTACACGTGTGTGTGGGCACAGGGATGCGGGCACAGGGATGTACACGTGTGTGCAGGCACAGGGATGCAGGCACACTGATGTACACGTGTGTGCGGGCACAGGGATGTACACGTGTGTGCGGGCACAGGGATGCGGGCACAGGGATGTACACGTGTGTGCGGGCACAGGGATGCAGGCACAGGGGTGTACACGTGTGTGTGGGCACAGGGATGCGGGCACACTGATGTACACGTGTGTGTGGGCACAGGGATGCAGGCACACTGATGTACACGTGTGTGTGGGCACAGGGATGAGGGCACAGGGATGTACACATGTGTGCGGGCACAGGGATGCAGGCACACTGATGTACACGTGTGTGCGGGCACAGGGATGTACATGTGTGTGCGGGCACAGGGATGCAGGCACAGGGGTGTACACGTGTGTGTGGGCACAGGGATGCGGGCACAGGGATGTACACGTGTGTGGTGTGTGTGGGCACAGGGATGCAGGCACACTGATGTACACGTGTGTGCGGGCACACGTGCACGCATCCAACCCAGTGCACACCACACGCATGCACACATGTGCACACCCTCCTTTACATGCAGGCAGGGGCATCCCTGGCTGCTGGCAATGGGGCAGCCACTCCATCCCCTTTCCTATGGGGGGCTCCACCTTGTCCTACCCCATACTGTGTGTCCCCCATCCCCATTATGGGGGTGCACAGGGACACACACACCCTGTGTGCAGCAGGTCCGGGTGGGATGTGATGAGCACAGGGAGGATAAAGAGGGGACCCCCCCCTTCCCTCCCATTGTGGCTTTAGGGTTCGGGTGCCCCCAACTCACGTAGGTGCCGGCGAGGGTGCGGAGCTGGTGCTCCAGGTAGCGGGTCAGGTCGTAGGTCTTCTGGATGGAGTGGCCGGGGCCCAGCTCCTCGGTGCAGTTCAGCGCCGGCAGCGCGGGCAGGTGGCAGAGCGCGGCACAAAGGAACGTGAAGATCCCCCAAGAGTCTCCTGCGGGGACACGGAGCCTCAGCACGGGGGCAAACCGGGGCCAGGGACACCCCGGCTGGGAGCGCGGGGACGCCGCAGTTTGGGCATAGGGGAGCCTTGGTTGTGGGGATACACAGGGACGGGCTTTGGGCGTGGGGAAACCCTGAGTGTGGGCAGGGGGAGCTGTGGGCATAGGGACACCCCAGATGTGGGCATAGGGACATCTCAGATGTGGGTATAGGGACATCTCAGATGTGGGTATAGGGACACCCCAGATGTGGGTATAGAGACATCTCAGTTGTGGGCATAGGGACATCTCAGTTGTGGGCATAGGGACATCTCAGTTGTGGGCATAGGGACATCTCAGATGTGGGTATAGGGACACCCCAGATGTGGGTATAGAGACATCTCAGTTGTGGGTATAGGGACATCTCAGTTGTGGGTATAGGGACATCTCAGTTGTGGGTATAGGGACATCTCAGTTGTGGGTATAGGGGCATCTCAGTTGTGGGTATAGGGACATCTCAGTTATGGGTATAGGGACATCTCAGTTATGGGTATAGGGGCATCTCAGTTGTGGGCATAGGGACACCTCAGTTGTGGGTATAGGGACATCTCAGTTATGGGTATAGGGACATCTCAGTTGTGGGCATAGGGGCATCTCAGTTGTGGGTATAGGGACACCTCAGTTGTGGGTATAGGGGCATCTCAGTTGTGGGCATAGGGGCATCTTAGTTATGGGTATAGGGACATCTCAGTTGTGGGTATAGGGACACCTCAGTTGTGGGTATAGGGGCATCTCAGTTGTGGGCATAGGGGCATCTTAGTTATGGGTATAGGGACACCTCAGTTGTGGGTATAGGGGCATCTCAGTTGTGGGCATGGGAACAGCCTGACTGTGGGCATGGGGACACCTTGACTGTGGCTATAGGGACCTGTGTGCATGGGGACACGCCAGCTGTGGGTCTAGGGACACCTTGTCCGTGGGTATAGGGACACCTCGGCTATGGGAATGGGGACACCCCGGCTGCGGTCACGTGCACCTCCGGGTACAGGGACACCCCGCTGTGGGTCTAGAGACTTCAGGCTTGTGGCCATGGGGACCCCCCAGTTGCGGGACTGGGCTCACCCCGGCCGCGGGCATGGCACCAACCCCTTGTCCCGGTGCCAACCCGCAAGGGGGGAAACCGAGGCAGGGCGGCTCTGCGCCCATCCCACCCCAATGGAGCAGCTTCCCTGGGCCGGGGCAGGGACCCGGAGCAGCTCCCTCCATAGGGCGGCCCCATCAGCCCCGTTATCCCGGAGCGGGGGGGGGGGTTCTGACCCCTCTGGGCTCCCCTCCATGCGCTGCAGCAACAATCCTTTATATGGTCCGGAGCGAGCGCGGCTCACGGCATTCCCGCAGGGTTATATTTGGGCACGGCAACACCGCAGGCAGCAGCACGGGGGCAAAGGGGGGACCGAGGGGGCTGGATGCTGGGAACAGGGACACGGAGCGAGGCCGGGTCCCCACGGCGGGCAAAGGGCGGGATGGACCCGGCCCCGCTTCCCGGCATCGGGATGAAGCCCTCGCGCGTCACCGCTCCCCGTCAGCGGCCGCCGGGAGCGGCCAAGAGCCGGTGACGCACGAGGGTCCCCCGGGACACCCCCCCCAACACACACACACACGGGATGGGGGTGCTGGGATGCACCCCATGGCTGGGCGGTGGGATGGGGGTGCCTGCGGGACAGCCCGCGGGGTGCAACAGGCGGATCGAACCTGCGGTACCCCCTGCGGGTGTGCAACAGGCAGCTCGCACCTGGGGTACAGCCCGCGGGTGTGCAACAGGCAGCTCGCACCTGGGGTACCCCCTGCGGGTGTGCAACAGGCGGCTCGTACCTGGGGTACCCCCTGCGGGTGTGCAACAGGCGGCTCGTATCTGGGGTACCCCCTGCGGGTGTGCAACAGGCGGCTCGTATCTGGGGTACCCCCTGCGGGTGTGTAACAGGCAGATCGAACCTGCAGTACCCACTGCAGGTGTGCAACAGACGGCTCGCACCTGGGGTACAGCCCACGGGTGTGCAACAGGCGGCTCGCACCTGGGGTACCCCCTGCGGGTGTGTAACAGGCGGCTCGCACCTGGGGTACAGCCCACGGGTGTGCAACAGGCGGCTCGTACCTGGGGTACCCCCTGTGGGTGTGCAACACACTGCTTGCACGTGCAATACAGCCTGTGAGCATGCAACACTGCCTGTACCTGTAATACAGCCTGTGGCTGTGCAACACACTGCTCGCGCTTGAGGTACACCCTACGGGTGTGAACCACGCTGCCCGTGCCTGCCACACACACTATGAGCATGGAACACACTGCTCACACATGCAGTACACCCTCTGGGCATGCAACATGCTGCTCCCGGCACTATGGGCGTGCAACGCATTGGTTGTACCTGCAGTACACCCTTACAGGCGTGCAGCACGCTGCTCACGCCTGTGGCTGATACACCCTATGGGCACGGAACAGGCTTCTCACACCTCTGACACCCACACTGGGCCCGCAGCGCTGCTTTTGGCTGTAACACACGTAAGGAGCACGCAACACACCGCGTACTCGTGGTCCACCCCACAAGTGTGCAGCGCTCTGCTTGTACCTGCAGTACACCCCCCAGGCGTGCAACACACACAGCCAGGCAAGGCGTCACGCACCAGCACGCGGAGCGCCACGTGTGCGTGTGATGGAACGTGCAGGTGGGCAACACGGGGGGCAGGGGTGTGATACACCACATGTGCGTGCCATACAACATATACGTGTGCAATACAACATAGAGGTGTGCCATACACCACATAGGTGTGCCATACACCACATGTGCGTGCCATACACCATAGAGGTGTGCAATACAACATAGAGGTGTGCCATACACCACATGTGCGTGCCATACAACATATACGTGTGCAATACAACATAGAGGTGTGCCATACACCATAGAGGTGTGCCATACAACATAGAGGTGTGCCATACACCACAGAGGTGTGCCATACACCACATAGGTGTGCCATATACCATATAGGTGTGCCATACACCATAGAGGTGTGCCATACACCACATAGGTGTGCCATATACCATATAGGTGTGCCATACAACATATAGGTGTGCCATACACCACATAGGTGTGCCATACACCATAGAGGTGTGCCATACAACATATAGGTGTGCCATACACCACATAGGTGTGCCATACACCATAGAGGTGTGCCATACAACATATAGGTGTGCCATACACCATATAGGTGTGCCATACAACATATAGGTGTGCCATACACCATATAGGTGTGCCATACACCATAGAGGTGTGCCATACAACATATAGGTGTGCCATACACCATATAGGTGTGCCATACACCACATAGGTGTGCCATACAACATATAGGTGTGCAATACACCATATAGGTGTGCCATACACCACATAGGTGTGCCATACAACATATAGGTGTGCAATACACCATATAGGTGTACCATACACCATATAGGTGTGCAATACACCATATAGGTGTGCAATACACCACAGGTGTGCCATACACCACATAGATGTGCAATACACTACATAGGTGTGCCTTACACCACATACGTGTGCTGTACAACATAAAGGTGTGCCATACACCACATATGTGTGCAATACACCACATACATATGTCATACAGCACAGAGGTGCGCCATAAAACACAGATGCGCCATACACCACATACATGAGCAATACACCACATACGTGTTCCATATACCACATACATGTGCCATACACCACATAGCTGTGCCATACACCACATACATGTGCCATACACTACATAGCTGTGCCATACACCATACAGACGCCCCATACACCATACAGATGCCCCATACACCACATATGTGTGCCATACACCACATACGTGTGCCATACACCCCACACATGTTCCATACACCACATACCTGTGCCAGAAACCACATACATGTTCCATACACCACATATGTGTGCCATACACCACATACCTGTGCCAGAAACCACATACATGTTCCATACACCACATACGTGTGCCATACACCATACACCGTGCCCGCCTACCCCACACCGCCCAGCCACGTGACGCACCCAAGCGTGCCGCCGCTCGCGGCGCAGGTGCTGACCGGCGGCGCCCACGTGACGCACGGTGACACGTGTGTGACACACGTGTGACGCACGGCGGGGCGCAGCCGGTGCCGCTGCCTTGTGCGTGCGAGCGCGGCGGGGCGGGGGGGGGGCACGTTCCGGTGACTCACCCGCCCCCGGTGTTTGCTTTGGCCCGACCCCCAAAATCCCAGAGCGGGATTTGCACCAGCCCTGGCGCCAAAGCAAACACAGCCGGGACGGGAAGGACGGGACTGGAGGGGGGGGGTAACGGGGGGGGGACCGGGATCGGGACCGGGACCGGGATGGAGCCGCGGCCGCTCCAGGCATGGGGCTGAGGCACAGACGGGGTGAGGATGAGGAGGAGGCCGGGCAGAGGACGTGGTGGCCATGGCACCGTGGTGGCAGTGGCACAGTGGTGTCCATAGGGCAGACATGGCCATGGCACAGCAGTCAGGGTGGTCATGGCACAGTGGTGGTCGTGGCACAGTGGTGTCCATAGGGCAGACAGGGCCATGGCACAGCAGTCAGGGTGGTCATGGCACAGTGGTGGTCATGGCACAGTGGTGGTCATGGCACAATGGTGTCCATAGGGCAGACAGGGCCATGGCACAGCAGTCAGGGTGGTCATGGCACAGTGGTGGTCATGGCACAGTGGTGGTCATGGCACAATGGTGTCCATAGGGCAGACAGGGCCATGGCACAGCAGTCAGGGTGGTCATGGCACAGTGGTGGTCATGGCACAATGGTGTCCATAGGGCAGACAGGGCCATGGCACAGCAGTCAGGGTGGTCATGGCACAGTGGTGGTCGTGGCACAGTGGTGGTCATGGCACAATGGTGTCCATAGGGCAGACAGGGCCATGGCACAGCAGTCAGGGTGCTCATGGCACAGTGGTGCTCATG